CAAGAATAATAAAAGATCAATGCGGATGTTTGTCAAAAGGAACAACCACCATTCTACATGGGTGACAAGGTATGGTTACTTTGTCACAATATCAAGATCACTCGTCCTTATGATAAGTTGGACTATTGAAGGCTTAGACCATTTTCTATTTCTGTATAAATCAATCCAGTTGCATATAATTTATACCTATCGGAGTCAACAAAAATCAATCCAATATTCCACGTATCTCTTCTTAAAGCATATAAGCTAGTAGATATACCAAGAAGAAGACAAGCTGTACCTCCTTCTATACAAGTAGACAATAATGAAGAGTTCAAAGTAGAAGAAGTTGTAGATTCAAGGCGGTGCCAAAATAAATTGAAATATCTTATTCATTAGTGTAGATATGATATTAGTGAATATACATGGGAGCCAATAAAGAATCTTAAAAAATACAACAAAGGAAGTGGAGGTTTTTCATGGATGACATCCATCAAAATCAAGATAAAAATCTTTCTTATAAAAGAAATAAGATCTAGGCAAGATAACATTCTACTTTTAATTCTTATTTGTAGCTTCTTTGTAGTTATAATGCTAAGGAGATGGAGAACCAACAACCAATGGATTCGACTAAAGAGTCTTTGTTTATGGACCTACTGGACGAGACATTGCAATTATTACAACCTTCAAGACGACGTAATCGAGATGAAGATCCTCAAGATCGACATATTTTTTCTTGAATAGATGGCGAGATATAATGCATTTGGTATCACGACTTTGGAAGAGACTCTCAATGTTTTGTAATTTTATTAGAGGTAAAAATAATTCCTAATGGTGTTCTAAATATTTTATTTGAAAGAAGTTATAAAGGCCTCAACAACGATCAAATAATAGGATGGTCTTCTTACCTTGGTAAGGAACACTATCAATGGTTGAGAGGCCCTATCAACCATCTTCAAAGAGAATAAAGATCTGAATATCTAGCAAATATAATTCTTTGCATCATAGATTTCTTCAACATATGATGATTGCTCCTTCTGGAACTCGTCCCTAGAAGGGAAGATAATGTCACAGACATATGCATGTAAGATAGTAATTACCTGGATAAATAGGTAGAAGTAAGTAGAAGTGGATAAAAGTAAGTTAATTATATAATATCTTCTATAGAAGCTTCCTAGAAGCTTTATAGACAGTGCTTGGCTTTATAATTATCTTTAATTGAATTTTTGGATTAGAAAAGTGGTCAAGAAGTTGGCCATGTGCCACACATGTTGTTAGCTTGAAGACTAAGCTAACTATGTAGTCCACACATAAAAAAAACTTGCCTTGTAAGTCAAGACATATGTCCTACAAAGTCAACACATATTGGAGGTCTTATAGAACATTGACATGTAGCTTCTAGTTAGATAGTATATATATAGAGACAAGAGTGAAGCCATCTTCACTCTTGTCAACTCTTTTCTTACTTCTAGTCTAGTTTCAAGAGTCTTAAGTTTTTCTTGTCTATTGGCAATAAGCCTTTCTAATTTCTTTTAATATACATACTTCTTTATTTCTATTTTGTCAATCTTTCTTTCAGATGGATTTCATTGATTTGTGCATCATCTTTTTGTTCATATCTTTGACACTTATAGTCCTTACTAATTGTTATATGGATGAAAGCTAATTCTATGTAGCTTAATATGTGAAAAGCTTGCTTCAATTGTAAACTTAAATGATCTTGTTATTTAGGTTCAATATCTATATAATCAAATAGAGTTCTTTAAACAAGCCATACCTATGGTTTTAGAGAACTTATCTATTGCTCATATTTGTGACACTTTAAATTATACTTGTATCTTTAGTAGAGCTTATCAATCCTAGTTTCAAAGATTTTTTAAAAGAGATTATGTGTATTTATAATATAAGGTACCTACAACACTTGCTGTTAAGGCAAGGCACATAATTCTATATTCAAAGAATATATTATCTAGTGGTATTTTGTTGTTAGAAAGCAAAGATAGATAAGAGTGTTGGGAGCATTTAAAGAATTGTATTCCTTATCATATTCCTATTGATGACTCTATATATCTTGAATTAGCAATTATATCAATTGATCTTCCTTCTTTTGTATGTAGTAAAAAAAAAAGGCTACTATTATGCTTTTATGTAATCAATGCCAATGTGGGTAGCATATGGCATATTTGATATCACTTCTTTTGATTCTTCCACCAGAAAAGTAGATTTGTGCTTGTTGTAAGAAGTCTTCTAGCCATGCCTCACCTCTTGATAAAGATTGAAGATTTCTTCTATTATGTGCCTTACACACTCCAATGATCTAACTACTACAACATTAGTTTGGAAGAGTAGAGTTTGGAATTTATATCATAGTAGTGTATATCTTCCACAATGTGTGTTTTGTAGTTCTAATTGACTAGAAGAGCTCCTAATCAACTTAAGAGGGTACTTCAGATTGTGTTAGATGTATATTTGTATTTGATTTAAATTACATATTTTATAATTGATTGATAATACTTGATATGTAATATGTAACAATCTTTGTTCAGATGACAACTATCATGTGATATAGTATTAGGTGCCAAATCATGTTAGATAAATGTAGATTGATTAAATTAGTGGTTTTTCATCCATTGATAGTTTTTTTGTTAGTTTACTTATTCATATCAATTAAAATTGGAATACTTAAGTAGAAAAAATCTTTGACTTGACATTCTTGTCAAGTCAAGTTTTGTAAGCAATTTTGAGAGTGAAAGAACTTATTGTAAGGTTTGCTTGGCTATGATTTTTAAGCCATTTTAATAAAGCTTTAGGGTTTTTCTTATTTTCACACTTGCACTCTCAGATTCTATTTTTGTGGTGTAAGAGATAGCTTGATTTAGTTTGGTGTAGATTTTTAATCGTTTTGGTACTTGAGATTGTAATAGGTATACATTTGTATTTGGTTTAAATTACATACTTAATGATTGATTGATAGCACTCAATGTATTGTACATAATGATCTTTGTTTATACAATACAAATCTAAAATAATATATGGTTTAATGTAAATTATGATTTTGTGTTATTACTTGGATACTTTTTTCAAAGTCTATTGTTGGATGTTAATTATTAAATTATAAAATATATGTAATTTAAGTTATTATGATTAGAATAAGAAACGTGTTTGTCAAGGTGACTGTGATTATATAGATTGAGGTTAAAAAAATACAAATAAATAAAGATGTGTACCTTCAAGGTATTTTTTATATTAGTTTTAAAAAATTAAAAAATTATAAAACTTCTAAAATAAATAATCAAATGTAATATTGCTCAGTAAACTATGAAATGGATAAAATCATTATTCATATATGATCACAATTTATTTTTTTAAACTTTATATTAGACTTATGATAAGGAATAAAATATCTGACCATTAATAGTGTGATCTACTATGACAAATTTAAAATTAAAAGAAATTATTTTCAAATAAATTATATTAAATAATATTAATTAAAAAATCTATATATTTTTATAAATAGATAGAATTTCTATTAATTTTTAATTACAATGTCATAGATATTTATAATTGATAAACATGTTATATGATATTATTTATAGTAGTTTTAGGATAAATTTCAATAACTAGCACCATATGTTATATTAGTTTATAATTATATATTTTTTTATCATAAATCTTAATTTATAAGTTACATAATTTAGTTTAAAAAATTATAATAATAATTATTATTTTAATAGTAGTGTGGATATTTTAAAAGATTAAAATTAAAAATTAAATTATAATTTTTAAATTCGAAAAAATCATTTGAAATTTTAAAATTACACTTTATTGAAATTTGGCATTAAATTTAATATTTTATAAAATTTGTGAAAACGACATATGTATAATTTATACTTTATAGGATTCCTTAGATTTAATAAGAACACCATCTAAAAATATCCATAACAAAGTCTTTAAAGAACTCATTATATACTATAATGAGTTTTTTTAACTATATATATATATATATATATATATATAGTTTTTTTAATACAAAAATATTTAACACATTAATAATTCCATCAAATGTAATACTACATTTATATTTTTTTATAAATAATTTAGGATGCAAAATTTTACATGTTTTTTTTTAATTTATTTATTTGATATATATAAATTTTTACATTTTTATAATTTTAATATAAAATTTGGTCTTAACAAATTGATAAAATTTCCTAGTATCAAAAGTAATGAATAATGATTTTTTATTACCAAAATACTTATACTAAAGTTATACTAATCCATGCATATTTATAAGGATCCATTTTTTTCTTTACAAGAATTAAATAAAATTTCTAACATGTTAAAGGCTTACAACAATATTTGCTAAAAAGAATTTCATATTGAAAAATTTTACAAAGACACTCAATAAAAACTTTATTTGGATTTATTCATTGCTAAACAGAAGGAGCATAATTTTCAATTTATATTATAGTAGGAGCTTTAGGAAGTAATGACAAAGGAAAAAATAAGAAAAAATAAGAAAACAAAAACAAAAGCAAATCATAAAAGAAATTAGAAAGACATGTGGATGACCACATGGACAGTAACTAGAAGAAAAAATATATATTTATTTTGCATAAGACAAGGAAATAGGGAAGCATCAAATCAAATTTTTAAATTTAATTTTATTACTATAAAAAAATAAGTTTACTCCTTCTCAATCTATGTCACCATTGCCACAACCAAGGCTGCCTTTTCACACAGACCAACGAAAAGTACATAATAACAAATTAGAGGTGGAGATGGCGCCTAGAGACCTTCTTCTCGTCTAATTCTCAATTAATTCACTAATTCAAAACAAATATCAGCAATGGAATGTGGCTGAAGAGGAAGAGGGAGGGCACTATTGCTGAGGTGGCGGCGGGGGTGTGACACGTCGTTCGAGTGTAACCCACGTGGCTGCTACGAGTGCAGAGCCTGTGCCCGTGGAATCACAAAGGTACCGCCAGTTTGGGGGGGGGTATTTAGTTTACTTCGAGCTTCACGCACTTCGAGGCACCACTCGGCATCGGAAGGACGATCCCTCCGCCTCTCTCTTTCTCTCTCTCACACGATCTAGCGTCGCTTCTGTTAGGTCTACAATCTCTTGCCACACCCGCGGGGAACGAACAGCACAATTCGTTTCGGACCGTACCCTCACATGGTTGCAATCTGTGATGCTTAAAGTGCACCATCGTTCCATGCTGATGGTGTATCGGATTCTCGGCGCTCCCTTGAGGTTTCAGCTCGCTCTGGCAGCTGGGGCTTTTGCTTCTTCTTCTTCTTCTTCTTCCTCCTCCTCTACTCTCTCTCGCAACGTCATTTCGGTCCTCTTAAGAACGCTTCTGTTTTCTCGTTGTGGGTCTAGAAAGGTTTTGGGTCGTCAATCTCTCTAAGCTTTTGGCACTGAAGCTCTTGTGTGAAGTGTGTCTTCTTTCACTTGGTCGTTATTCGGTGGTTGAATCAAAAGTTGACCTGAGCTCTGCTCCATTTAGATGTTGTGGTGCAAATCAGTAAAAGAAAAGACACCAAAAGGGTCTTGTTCTTCAGATTGCTGAAAGCCTAGGCGGACTTCTGTTTTGTAGAATTCATGCTCTTGTGCCTTCAGAGAAGGTACTTTCATGGCCGATTTTTGTTCTAGTTCGAGGTTGTGCAGTCGTCCTCCTAGTCATCGTTTTCCTTGTCTCATCTGGCACCTAGAAGGAGAAGCATTTCGCAGAATGCGCACATCATTCTGTTTAATTAGATCGCATACCTTCGGAATTGTTTTGAGCAAAGTTTTTTTGAGCGGCGGTGCTCTCACTCATAAACCATAGTTAAGCCTCAACTATTGTTAGCACATGGTTGATGCGGTTCAGCAAATTTTCATAGAGCGTTTGCTGTCGGCATGAAATGTAGCCTTAGTGATTGGAAAATTGAAAACCGCTGGGGTAATCAGAGCGATGGAAGTGCATGCTTTGTTGGTTGGCAGTGCTGCCGCACATGCCAAGCGAAAGTGGAATTCCGGCCTGTTGCCTTCGCCAGTGAAGAAAGAGAAAATTGATCACTTAGGGTTGTTTGACGCACAACCGAATGGTGTTGAAGGAGCTTGTATGCACTGCTTGGCTCCGACCTCTCACAATCTGTGCGATGTGTGTATAATATCAACATTGCCTTACGAGAATCAAGGCCAACTCGATCCGTCCCCCTTTCACCTCAATCTGAAACACACCAACGTCGCTGCTCAGGACATGAGATTCCATCGACCCGCTTCTGACGTCAGGACTCATCCTGCTCAGAATTCGTCCTCTCTCTCGACAGGAATCCTTTCTCGCCACCCGGCTCAGTTCAGCAATCCAGACCCGATCCAGAATGACTTTTCTCACATGAAGCAATCTGCGAACATGCCAGTGCAGAGCGACGTTGGGAACCCAGTTCATCAGTCCAGCCGGACAGTTAGGATCTCATCGTCAGAGGCCATGGAGGACAATGTGGTTGCAAGTCACGACTACGGCATTGGTGCGGTTGTGGGACAGCACAACCTCTTCGGGAATCCCGAACCCTTGAGACAACTATCGGGGTTCCCTTCACAGGAAATGACTACAAAGTTTCCGGTTCTGCCCAATCCACGGCAACAGCAGCCACTCTCTGTCAATTCATCTTTTTCTGTCGGCAGTGTGTCGGCCGGGGCAGCACACACCGATTTTTTCTTGGACAGTTCAATGACTTCTGGACACGACATGCCAAATATTCCACAAGCGACCCCATATAGCGTTCAGATTCATAGAATTCACCCGACTGTCCAGGTGGTCTCCCCAGAGTCTGAACACGCAAGTCTGGGTTCGCGGAGGCTTGAAGGAACTGCATTTCATACTCTGCAGCACCCACAATTCTACGCTACCACTAAAACTGACGGAGAGAGGTACGCTGAAATGGAACGTCAGTGCTTGTCGAACAACATCGCCGACAAGGTCATGATTAATCAACACTCACCAAGACCTGTTACAAAGTCAGCCTACCGCGGCGTCAGAAAGAGGCCGTGGGGACGCTGGTCAGCTGAGATTCGTGACCGAATTGGGAAATGCAGGCATTGGCTAGGGACGTTTGACACAGCTGAAGATGCGGCAAGGGCGTATGACGCCGCTGCGAGGAGATTACGTGGGGCAAAGGCACGTACCAATTTCGAGTTGCCATCTTCCTGCTCATCGCCTCCTTCTGACTCCCCTACTTTGCCACCAGGAGAAAACAGCCCCACCAGTAATTCCAGTCTGTCTCTCAAGCAAGCATCATATCTCTCTCGTTCCATCGCAGACCACTCCGGTCAACTTCGACGTACTCCTAATGAAGAATCGAATAGCCATGCTCAGGCGGCGGAAGCGCAAAGCACGCAAGAATGTTGCCGTCAACAACCAATTTCTCCCAGCAAGACAGCCGCCGTGGATCAGGCCCCAAATGGAACGCTGAAGTTGGATCTCACGCTTGGAAATTGCAGCTCGAGGTCATGCTCCAGCTCAGACCGAATTCAGCAATCGCCCTGCAACTCTTCCGAGACTGGGATCTATCTCCCTACCCGGCACTTCCCAACCCCAAGATTCGCAACGCTAGGTTCGCATCGCATAGCTCTCAACGCTTGGCATAGTTGTGCTACTCACGCCCACAAGTGAGAATCTTCACTCCAGCAATTTCTGCTATCTCACGCACTTGCTGCTTTGTAAGCTGCGCATCAGACCTGTAGCATACATAGACAAGCGGTCAAGTCTAGAGATCTGTTTGTGGGGTGACATATCACCCGGCGAGCTCAACAATGAGCAAAGTCTTCGAGCACGTCGCCTGCCAGACCCAGCGCAGCACCACGCTCACGGCAAGCAACTGTAGCATGTAATAGACCCAAAGCTCTCCTCGAGTTGTACAGACCGATGTGTATATGATTTCCGAGCTCCAAGAGCAATGCCGAGATTTCTATCTTAGTTTCATTGCATTTGAATGATTTTCCAGTTACCCACGTTGCATAGCATCGCAATCCTTTTGCCTCTAGCACTAATCAACAAAATCCTGGTACTTTTAATACTTTGGCCGCTGATGTTGAAGGTTTCTTTCGGTGTGGCCTCGCAAACCAAGGGTCTGGAGGTCTGCGGCAGTCGATGCAAATGACGTCGGTTGTGATCACATGTTAGCGCAGAACGAGTCGGACTCTCGGTCTACTTCGTCACCGACTTGTTTGTGGTGTTTGCAGATGCTGCCAGGCGGTTCATCGGTGATCTGTCGGTGTCAAGGATTTTGTGGTTTCTGTAGCAAAACAAGCTCAGGTATCTGGTGTAGAACGACCTTAAATTACCAAAAGGTTAGGAAGTTGGCATTTGATCAGCAATGGTCTTATACTGTCAAAGGTTGACAAATTGGCAAATATTTGGTCAGTAATGACTTTAAACTTCTAAAGGTAGGTAATGAGGGGGTGGGTGTTAAAATCCCAATTGTGAAATCCTTTGCCTTGCTTGATGATTGCTAGCACAAAGATAAGAACATTTTGGTGTTTTAAAAGAAAATAAAATAAAAGAAAGTAGGTATGGATTTCTTGCTGTGGGTCTTTTTGTGGATGATGTGTGAGAATCTCACTTAATCTAAAACCCTCTCTTTCAAATCCTAACTTAGTTTTAATTTTAAAACTTTTTTTTTGAAATCTCAACTTTCTAGTTGAAAAACATATGTTTGTTGTAGTGACCTTTCTTAATTTATTCCATACTCACAATCAACAGTTCGTTCTTGTTCTATTTTGAGACCTATTTCTAATTGTGAGATTTGTTCTCATATAATATCCAATGTTTTTTTCTTTAATAATAATTTGATAAATTTTAAATTATAATCTAATTCCAAGCTTTAAAGTTTTAAAAAAAAACTTTAGATTATTTATATATATATAAAAAAAAACATTAAAAAAATATTTGTATTACATCAAAACAAGTTATGTTTTATTTGTCCAAAATATTTCAAAGTGATACACTTAAAATTATTTTTGGTGTATTTAAAGGTTTATTAATAATAAAACTATGATTCAGTTTATTTTTTTGTGTATTTTTAAAAAATAATATGAGCAATAAAAGTTTCAATTAAATTAGATAAATAATAATTAATGATACACAAGTAATAGAGGTAGAAATGCATTACATAGCAATTGGAATAGATTAAAATTTAAGAAAAAAAATAGTAAAATAAAATTAATATATATTTCTATTAATATAAAATTTTAAATATATATTTATTTAGTGATATTTTTTATTATAAAATTATGTTGACAATGAAAAAATACTAAAAAAAATAATAATAATAGTATATATAGCATAATTTGTTATTATTATTATGATTAAAAAACCAATAATTCAGTGATTTATAAGAAAAATATTAAAAGAAATAAATATAAAAAAATTCAAAAGAGATTACAATCATGTATTATTGAAGAAAAAAGAAGTAAGAAAAGAAGAGAAAAATATTGAAAACTGCTAGGTAGACACTCTTCTATATCACACACATTTGCATAAACATAGTAAAACTCTTATTTACAACACAAAAAATATAGTTAATTTATATTAAAATATTATTTAAATAAATTTACAAGCTTTAAAAAAATATATTAATTACAAATTTTTATCAAATATAACTAATAAAAAAATTAAAAAAACAACATAAGTCATTATACACAAATATTTTATTGTAAAATTTTATTTATTTATTTATTTATTTTTATAAATAAGATTTTTCTTCTGAATATGCAAGTGCAAGTGGCATAGAGAGGGAGGGGAGAATGTTCATGCAATAAAAAAGCATTGTCCAAAGTTTTATTTTTATATTATACAACTTAAAAGATAGAAGTTGGACATATATCATTTTTTAGTTTATTTATGGACTTTATCAATTTATGCCAATAAAATATATAATATTAATATATTTTATTACAAAAAGAATTATTCTAATTTTAAATATGTAATAATTTCTTGCTTCATAAAGACAAATCTTTGAGACACTAACTATAAACAAGACTAAACAACATAAAATTGATGCTAGTGAAAACAATCTATTTGAAAAAATTAAAAAATCAAGAAAAATGATATAACTGTTTTAAGATTAATAATCACATTTTATGATTTCTAAAAGGCAACAAGACATATCCAAACAAATTGAAACTTACTAATTTTTACCTTCTAGAATTTTATAGTTGGTTTTAAATAATATTACTTTTTTTGTAATAAAAAATTACTTAAAATCACATTTTATTTTGATTAGCATCAACTAATTTAAATTTTATAATTTTTTTAATACAACCTATAGCTTTAGTGTCATTCTAATTTATTTGATTCAAAAATTGGTTAACAAAAAAACAAAGATACTTAGGTGTGGTTTGATTTAGAACTAATAATTGTAATAAGTAAGAAAATATAAGAAAAGACAAACAATTGAAAAATAAGAAGATAACTACTAGAAAACCAAATATGATAAGATGCTATCATATATAGGTACTAATAGAAAGTAGCAATAGTATCTTAATCTTAGCAATAATATATTGCTATAAAGTCAAAGCAATACAAATTTGAAGTCTACATGTAATATCATTAATTTTATGATAACATAAAGAATGTAAAAATCAATTCATTTGTATCAAAAGCCAAGATGTGAAGTATAAAATATTACAAAATAAAATTGAGGATTGAAAAATCTAATCACTTTGAATAAATAAAAACCATCAATAAATATAAATATGTTTAGTTACTTTATATAAAATATTATTAAATTTAGATAGCTTTAAGATAATATAGGTAGACATAATAAAAAGTGGTTGGAATGTAGTATCTAAACAAAAATAAGGAAGTTGATATCAAGTAAGGCACATGAGATATTAGAGAAGAACAAAGATTTTAGGATAGTAATTGCAACAATGCCAAAACTCAATATAAGAAAACTAAACCTCGTTGCAAAAAAACTAATTACTTAAGCCAAGAACAAGTAATTTGAATCCATTACCACATATCTAACTAGCATTGATGATGTCTTTTTTTAAATAAAAAGAAACTACACTATTTCCAACAACTTAAAAAAAAGTAAAAAATTAACAATGCAAAAAATAGACATGATGAATTTTAGATTTTTAATAAAAAATATTATTTCTAAATGAATAGAAAAAAATAAAAAAACAAAATATTTAGATTAAAAATCCCTTTATTTAATAAAATAGCTATTAATTTGGATGTAATTACTAAAAATCTTTTAAAAAAATTTGAATATCAAAAGATAACAAAAAATTATAACAAAAAATTATACAATAATAACACTATTATATTATATAGAAAAAATAAATATATTATTACAAAAATAAATGATTAAAATAATCATATAATTTAAAGAATATACATAAAATTTCTAACAATGAATAAAACAAATATTAAGCATCATCAAAAAAGCATTCAAACTAAATGAAAGTTTTGAAGACATCAAGATCAATGATTGCACAATGCTATATATTCTATCCTCAATGACTTAAACAGAAATGGCTTACTTTAAAAAAAAATGGTATATGTTAGTAAAATATTTGTATAAATTCTTGAGTTTTTGTCAAAGACATGAATTGAAAGAAGATGCATAAATCTGTGAAATTATCATGGACATACACATGTAAGCCAATAATTACATGTATAAATAGATAGAAGTAAGTAGAAGTAGATAAAAATAAGTTCATTTTATAATATCTTCTATGAAAGCTTTTTAAAAGCTTCATAGATATGTCTTTGACTTTATAGGTGTCTATAATTGACTTTTTGGATTAGAAAAGTAGTCAACAAATTGGCCATGTGCCACACATGTTGTTAGCTTAAAGACCAAGATAACTATATAGCCTATACATAGAAAAACTTGCCTTATAAGTCAAGGCATGTGTCCCACAAAATCAACACATATTAGAGGTCCTACAGAACATTGATATGTAGCCTCTAGTTAGATAGTATATATAGAGACAAGAGTAAAGCCCTCTTCACTCTTCTCAACTCTTTTTTTGTTTTTAGTCTAGTTTCAAGAGTTTTAAGTTTCCTTGTCTTTTGGCAATAAGCCGTTCCAATTTTTTTAATATACGTACTTCCTTATTTCTATTTTGTTACTTTTTCTTTGATACAAATTTCATTGGTTTATGCATTATCTTTTAGCTCATGTCCTTGATAGATTGACAAGATTATTTTTATAATATCAAAGCTTTATCTTGGCTTAATTAAGAGTAGATTACCTCTTTCTCAAGATAAGACATAAGCATATTAGAAGTTACAGATTACTCTTTTCTAATCTGATATTATTCTTTGTATTTTCTCTGTCCTCAAATCTTTTTTTTTACTTGTCTCGAGTGGTATTAGATATTTTTATGAGTGTTATTATGGCAGAGTTTGTTGAAATGAAGAGTACAATGGTACAAATGTAAGAACAATTGAGGATATTTTTTACAAATTTAGAATATTGACTGAAAATCTAAACAAGAATCTACAAGAATTAGATTAATTAGATGAGTACAAGAACAAAACTAAAGAGGTGAGCTAGAGCTTTAAGAGGTGTGTTGTCGAGACTAAGGATCCACTCAGTCTCGGCTCCTATATATACTACAAGCTAGGAAGCCTCTCAAATAGCTTCCACAAACTAGGAAGCTTCTCAAGTAGCTTCTACAAACTACAAAGCTTCTTTAGAACCTTCTAAAATCTTCTACATTATTCTAGTGTATGTCCTTGACATCACCCCCCTCTTTTAGCTTTGAGGTTTCCGAGAAGTACTCCTATTGCGAGTCAGTACCAATGTAAGAAGTTGAAAGTTTTTCGCATAGTGTTTGCAATATACTCCAATTGTTGTTCCAACGACAAGTAGTTCATTGGTCCTTGTAATCAATGATAGTATACTACGCTTTTGGTTTTCGACCAGGTATGAACTTTTGTGTCTTTATTGTGAAAATGCCCTACAAACACTCCTTCGTGAAAATTACCATAGGCAGGTTCTATCTCAAGCACAATCACTAGCGACCTGTTACTAAGTATCCTCTGTCATCTTCGTGATACAGGTGGTTCTTCATCTCAAGGTCGTTTTGTGATATACTTGATTGAGAAGCCATGACTGGTATGGTATCTATCTCTTGGCTATCCATATCAGACTAAAAAAATAAGCACTAAACATGGAAGAATGGGCTCAAGTTACAGATTTATAGTCTCTAATTATGTCTTTTAGAAGTTCCTTCTTCTCCTTCTTTGTAAGGTTGAGGATTAAGAGGCTTCAAGGAGAAGGGACTTCTTTGAAAAACTTTCATCAAAAGGGCTTAGGTTTCTGAAGATAGCATCAATAAAACTCTTGTACCTTTTGCGACGCATTGATAAGATTTTCTGTTGGTTTCCATCTGCGCTCATTGATATTATAGCCGCTCCAATGCACTAGGTATTCCAATTTTCTCCATTTAAACCGTAAATCTAGTACCTTTTCCACCTTGTATTCCTCATGGTTCTCAATTTCAATTCTAAGTGGTGGACATTGCACTCTTCCAAGAAAAGACGACTCTTGATAAGGCT